CAGGAAACACATTTTTTTATAAGGGGGATGCGAATTGGCTATAACGCGATCGAGTGAACGGAACTATGTCGCGTGAGAAGGAATAAGCGGTTGTGCGGCTGCCTCGGCGTAGCATCACACAAGGCAGGATACAGCTGGATGCTTCTCGATGCTACCCATGCGCCTCAAGTCTTTGTTCAGCCTGCGTACACATCTCACTCGTTATCGGGGACTGTGTTTTAACCTATTTATTATAACGTGATTTTCCCATAACGCGGTGTTTTTCAAGAATGCAACTACTACTGCGTTATTTGGAGGACAAACTGTGTAGTTCTGGTCTAGTTTGAAGGTGTTAGGGGTGGCCCACATGGTGTGTGATTTTCCCCAGGCCCCGCACATCCCCGAAGGATGGCCCTGGTTGCAATTCTCAAGCTGTGTGCAGCACAAATCTGCGCTGCGTAGTTTTACAAACCCATGGGCCCTGTGCTTCGAAGCGTCCACGTGATCTGTCTCATCGCTGTCGGGCCCCCTTTAGTTTATTTCACATTTATCTTACCTTCGGTTTAGCACATGGGCTTTTGCGACCAATATTACTCTCCAACACATCGGTGTGTTGGGTAGTTACATTTGTAATTGTTTAGTTTATTGTTGTGTAACGTGTAACATGTTCATGAAGTGTGCGAGTTAATTACGCGTTAATATAATTCACCTTATAGTAATGGATTGTACTTTAATAATAATATTTTTTGAAGGATTTGCGGAATTCCAGACATTCCTCATAACGAAAAAGGCTTTTCCAAATTAGTCAGGCACAGGAAGGTTTAATTTTTAATAAACCTTTCTCGAGAATATTACCGACCTCATGAATATGAATGCTCAAGCATAGAACCTCATCATGAGATGCATACTCTCTTTGTGGTTGACATGCTTTATTTAAAAAAAAAACTCAATTAAAACTATTTTTTATTTGAGCAGGTGAGGCCCAATGAGCTACATAGTTCTTTTTCCGAAGTGACCTGGCCACAAAGGATAGCTCAACGAGAAGTAGCTTGTCATGTAGACATTTATTGCACCAAGATACTCTTAAACACATGTTTGTAAATGTGGAGCGAAAAACTGGAGAACCTAGAGAAAAATTCCAGTGGCATGTAACCAATCTAGAACAATATCTTGCAACTGATGTCCTATACCTAAGTCTAAACGGAATGTTTCATGTCTATTTCCTTGTCTCCCCCTCGTGTATCGGTGTCCGTGTAGGTGTCTGTACTTGACTCGGGAACTCAAAATGGCGCTTGGTCCATTTTTCTGTCCAAATCTCCACGACTTTTGACATTGAACCGGGTGAGTTGGGGTTAGAGTCATGGGGCTGGTGCTAGAGGAATGGCTAGTATTAGGGGTAAGGGTAGTGGTAGCATTATCGATTAAGATTTGTATTAATTTGTCCTTAAATACAAACAGTATCTCCTAGGACTTAGAAGGTAGGGGTTAAGCTATAAATAAACTAAACTTGTTATTTTGCCAGGTAAGGCTCACTGAGATGTACAGATCTTTTCCGATCTTTTTCAGAAGTGACCACAAATGATAGCTCAACGAAGTGGATTTTCACGTGGAAATTTATAGCAACCTAATACTCTTAAACGCATGTATCTAAATGTGGAGGGAAAACTGGAGGACCCCAAGAAAAATCCACATGACTATTGGGCAAACATGCGCAAACTCCAAATATACAGATGTACAGGTCTCCAGTGCCCAGACAGCAGGGCACTCCATGTGGTAATTCACTTACGGGTCACCAACTCGTTTCATTCACACACCCGCACACTCACACACTTGCTTGCTCACTAACCCATTTAATTACTAATTCAGTCACTGGCTCAACGACCTACTCACGCCCTCGCTCAATCAGTCAATGGCTTGCTTACCCACCCACCCACTCCATAACCCACTTATCCACTCATAAACCCACTGAATAATAACTCATTGACACAAGCACTCAATCACATACTCAATACCCACTCATACACCGACTTACTATTTTTTCTCGTGAACTTTTAATGGTATATTTATTATCGCATGATATTGACCACCTCTGACCATTTACCCAGGCCCTGGCCATTATGAACCTAGGCCTCAGGCTTGCCCTCGCCTGACTGCTGGTGTCCCGTGAGAACAGCTTTCCTGAGCGATCAACCCCTGGCCCAGGACTTGGAGAATATGAGGTACAGACATTCGCACATCACCTGACTCTCAACTGTGTAATGTACACACACACAGATCTGACTGCATTCACCTATAGCATTGCTTTATTACGTGATTATAAATAAAATCGTCCCGTGCATCCATCTACCTCCCTGTGCCTCCATACCCCGATGTCTCCCTCCTCCCCGATTCCTTCCTTCTCTTGTATCCCTCCTCTTCCCCATGTCTCCCTCCAGCCCGTGTCTCCACTTGTCTGCCCTTTCATCCCCTGTCCCCCCTGTGTCTTTCTCTTCTCTTCTCACTGTGTCCTCTCATCACTGCGTCTCTTCATTCTCACCCTCTTGTCTCCCTCCTTCCCTGCCTCGAGTAATCCTTCTCCTCTCTCCTCCCCGTGTCTCTGCCTGTCTCAGTATGTCCCCTTCCTCGTTCTCAGCCCTTTAATATGAGTCTGGGAGCAAAGATTCCACTACAAATGAACACTCAGTGAGGAAAACTCATTCACATGCTCACCCTACTCACTCATTTGCCCATTCACTCAGCAGTTCACTGATTCGTTCCTTCACTCACGCACTCACTCATCCACTCTCTCAATTGCCCACTCATCCTATTCATCTAATCACCCAACTGCTTATCGACCAACTCACTAAATCACTCGTGTTTACTCCATCACCTCACTCATTAATTTAGCGCATTGCTTGTTTGTCTATTTCTTAACAAACTCATGCACAACACTCACTACCCACTCATTCAAACACTTCCGCACTCACCATACTCACTCAGTTATTTATTATTTCACTCGCTCACACCGTTCCATCAATCGCTCACTTGTCCAAAAACCCATACACTGCACATGCATTAAATTACTGACCGACTCAATCACACAATCACCCAGTAACCTGACTTGACCACAAAGTCACTCAATTATGAAAAACTCCACAGTCGTCCATGACACTGTGGCCTAGAAAAATATGAGGCAACGTTTCAGGCAATGACCCTTCTTCATAGCACATAGAGAGACCATAATCAGAGTTGGAGGCTGCAGTTGTTTACACCATGGGACATGATGAGAATTAAATGTCGATGTTCTCCCTGATGAAGTTTTAATTTGGCATCTGAATAGTAACCTAATAATAGCTCCTGAGTAACCAATAAACCCTTTAATAATCACAAATGTATTCCTAAATAATCTCATTTACGTGAAAAAGTAAATGTCAGGACTTGTGAGATTGTTGGTCCAATCCTTCCATCTAAAAATATTAAAACTAATCCATTACCAGGGGCAGACTTACCAGGGAACACACCTCCTCACGTGATAAACGTGGGTAATGGGTATGTAGTTACACATGTTCATTGTTCACAGATATGATGTCGCCCTCTGGCACAATGTCACCCACCTTACGTAATCGTCTGGTCAGCCAACTGAATGCGATTGGGTGAGTGTGTGCTCACTTACAACACTTTCCCCAAAAGTCTGTTAAGGCTATACGTGGGATCTTTGTCTTTGTGAGTCTGTGCGAGTGGATGATGACTTGAGTGGGGTCATGTAGCCTGCATGCCAAGCCACTGCATGCCCAAGCAGTTTCTTGTTAGTCAGATAGAGGGGGCGGCTAAATGGGTTTGGCACAGGCCAGATAAGAGATGGACTGAGATGGTACAGAAGGATGTGGAGTAGATTGGACTTGCTGATGACCGGTATTAGCGGTGTCAAGACCGACCTCTGTAGAGGAGGTTCGTGAAAGACGCTTCTGGGGAGTTGTAGGCAGTCAGCCTCCACCAACAACGGATGGCAGAGGAGCGATGCTTACAACCGCGAGCACAGTGCAGCAAGTTGGGAGAGTAAGGGGCACAGGTGGTGCATTTGTCAGTCATCTCATTTAGTCAACCCATGGCACCTGGATCTGTTCCACTACCTACCAGTGAGCCTTCGACACTACACGTGGCCTCAGAGTACGCCTTTCATAGTGCAGGCGCTGTGGTGACATCACCACCACTTAGTGGTGAGCAGTGGCTGCTGTTGTTGAGGAATAACTTCATGGGGACCGGTGGGCAGGGGTGGAGCCACAGGGGGGGCTGGGGGGGCACGGAGCCACAGAGGGGCTGGGGGGGGGCTGAGCCCCCCCTAAAATTTTGAGAAAGTCGGTAATCGGGATAACCGGATATCCGGCTGCTGCAAAATGCTGGCTGCCACCTTGTGCTGCCCTGCAGGCTGCTTGAGCGGCAGCCTGTCAAACTTATCGAACTTATTAGCCACATCAGCGGCTCTGACCTATTAATAAATTCCGCGTTCAAATCCAATAATATTTGTTTTATACATTTGTGGCGCCCATTGGAAAACATACACTGGATATCTCAGAATATTGAAATCAGCCCCTCCAAAGTCAAAATCCTGGCTCCGCCCCTGCCGGTGGCACAGTGGTTAGTGCACTCTCCTGTGAACCTGGTAAACGGAGTTCAATGCCCACTTAATACAAATAACAGTGGTGCATATTTTAACGGGTCTTGGGCCTTCACGAGGCAGACTCAGCCTTAAAATGAGGTACTGATGTTTCATAGATTCTTATAAATGATTACAGTCTGTATTATCACTTTTACCAATACCCCAATGAAGCCCTCATACTTAAGAAATAAGGGTGTTGGAAACTGATTCTTTAAGTGAGCGCTAAGCGAGCGGTCTGTACTGAGTACACCGCTATCCGGAGAGATACACAATTTAAATCAGTCACCAAACAAGAATGCTTTAAAAAAAAATGTCACAACTACAGCCAAAATGTATAATATAATGAATATGTATTTACATTTACAATACAGAAAATCACGGTTTTGATACAAAAATAAATGTTGTGGTCAGGGTCCATTTGGTGGGGCGCTGGTTCTGGATGACGCCTGATCACCGAAACGCCTCCCCCGGAATCTTCCCTGCTTCCTGACGACGGGAACGACGATTGGCGACCGTGCAGGAGCCGCAGCCAAAACCGGAGCAGCGATTGCGATGAGGGAATGAGGAGAGGAGGGAACAGAGTGGAGAGGGAGACAAGCGGCATCATTAGCGACGGTCGCCAAAACGTGAACACGCCGGTGCAGTTGCGATTACGTGTGTCGGTCAGGATTGTGGGCGGCACGGTACTCACGTAGAGGTGGATGAAGTCGTCAGCCGCTTTGGAGAAATCCCAATTGTTCCGCTCCAGGCATCTGTGGAGGCGAGCGCGGACAGGAGGCAAAGAGAACGTCAGTGCCTTTTTTCCACAGTCCAGCTTGCAAGTCTAGTGCCTGGGCTGTGGACCAGATTCCTATGGCCACCTGAAACGGGTTCATGCCAGCTCCCGGTGAGAATCGACCGTGCAGCCCCATTACACAGTGCCGTTTGGCTCGCTTCTCAATGGGAGCCGCATGCTTGGAATAGCGCCGTCACGGGGTCAACGCAGCAGAGACGCACCGTCAAGTCGCCCCTCACTCGAGTCGACTTTATGGCCATGTGTTTGTACAAAATTTGTCGAAACATACCAAAAATTATCGTTTAAACTCGGGACCGGAGTAAGCCACCTCAAGCATACATTGTCTCCTTAATAATCTTTACAAAATGACTGACGCTTTCCTCTGTCTGTGGACAAAAGGGGTAGGGGGGAATGAAGGGGCATGAAGGACATAACAGTCCGAGTCCAAAGACCCTGGTGCCCCTATAAGGGTTTGGCAGAATAAATGGCTCCTGCTGGGCTGTGTCTCATTACTCTTGCAATGAAGCATGACATCATGCGTGTGTGCACGTGTGTGTGGCTGTAAGACAGTTCCCACGTGCTCTCGCCCACCTTTGCGACCACTCCGGTGTCATGTGGGATTTTTCTGCGAACGAATTGACTATCTCCTGCTGGGACGAGGTGAGCGCAGTAAGCGGGCAGCTGCTGGACGTCGCTGATGTTGTTGAGGCGAATGCAGGGGGCATCTCACTTGCAAGAGCTTCGCGGATGAACATCCGCTCACTCGCGACAGATGGCCTGCCGGGTGTCAACACAAGCAGGTCAATAAAAATAATAACACATTACTTAGTTAAACAGCAAGCTAATGGAGCACCTGAAGGAAACACACATGGGCAAGGGGTCAACACTCTATCCCATACAGAAGACAAGATGGAGATTAGTCCACACTTGCTGTACTGCCTTCTGGAAAATCAAGAGTATGCAACCTCGTTAAGGAAGAAGCAAAGGAATGGGAGAGGGAGCAGAGGAAAGCGAAGCAGGAAAGCGCGTATTGTCTGTGTGCGAAAACATGGTGTGTGTTTGTGGCTGTGTGTATATGATGTGTCATGTAGCCCGTATGCCCAGCCACCGCATGCCTAAACAGCTTTTGTTCGGCTGGATAAAGGGGGCTAAACGGGCGCGGAATGGGCTAGAGAAGAGATGGAGTGATGTGGTACAAGAGGATGTGGATCTGAGTGGACTTGCCGATGACTGGTACCAGCCGTGTTAAAATCGGCCTCTGTGGAGGAGGCTCGTTAAGAATGCTACTGGGTAGTTGGAGGCAGTCGCCCTCCAACAACAATGGGGGAGGAGTGACGCTCAAAACAACGAGCGGAGCGCTGGGTGGCCAAAGCACAGCAAGTTGGCATAGTAGGGGGCACAGGTGGTGCATTGGCCAGCCATCTCAGTCGACCCGTAGCACGTGGGTCTGCCCCGTGACCTCCTGCCAGTGGGCATTCGACACTTCGCGTGGCCTCAACATGCACATAGGCTGGCACAAGCGCCGTGGTGACATCACTGCCACTTAGTGGCGAACGGCGGTTGTTATGATGTGTTGGGTCATGGTGCAAGTGACTCACCTGCCGTCCATGGTTGGCACCAATTGCACCACCCGCCAAAACATCTTCACAGACTCTTGGCAATTCTTGGCTGAGGATCGACACACACGACAAAGGTGCACGGGCGTCAAGAGAGAGCCACGCCATTAACATAAACCGCATGGCAGGATCAATTAGAATGGTGAGGTGGTGCTTATGGCATGCAGTGCAGAATGCATCTGGTGTAATTAAATGCAATGTCAGTGATGCTGTTGATGATGCTACTGCTGATGACGAAGCTGATGGTGAATGTGACTATGCAAATACTCACTCTCTTTGAAGAAGCCATGGATGGTGAAGTTGACCTGGGTATCCTGTAAAGTGAGAGTCACAAGTAAACACGACCGCCCATCATTTTTAAGGAACCCAAGAGGTGGAGACTGCAGGGTTGAAGTCTCGGCCAGGGTTATTGCTGTGGCTAGAGTAAGTGTGAGTCTTGGCTTTTGTTAGTGTCAAGGTTTGCGAGAGAGATATATATGTTGCTAGGGATCAATGGGATCGAGTGTCAAGGCTAGGGATAATGTAAGGCGAAGAAGATGGCTTTAATCTCTCTTCAGAGTTACGTTTCACGTAATAATTCACGTTTAATATTGGAGCATGTGAAAGGTGGATATATTTACATAGACATAAGGGTATCAAAGAATAAGTCAAAATTTTTATAGTAAAAATTCTAAGCATAAATTGAGGGCTTGTGCACAGGAAAGGTTTGTAACTCAGGCCACATAAGCTCAGCAATTTGTGTTTAAGCAGAGCCAGCGGCTATGCCAATGAGGGCGTTTTGGTGCAAGTCCACGTCTCACCGTGCCACGGCTGACGGTGGTGGTGAAGGAGGACATATCGTGATGCTTGTGCGTCAGCTCTTTGATGAAGTCCTCCGCCGTCAGCCGCTCGCACTTGAGCTGTGCTGTGGGATGAGGGGGCAGGAGGGCAACAAAACTGTGGTGATGCGAGTGGCGACAGATATGCGCATGTTAAACTTCTTTTGCACTGTACGCAGTCAACTGCTATCGGAGGTGCAGAGCAAGGAGAAAAAAACTGCATGGCGCACGGTGACAGAATGACATCAGCAGTGACACAGTGACGCGCGGATCTGCAAACATCGCCCGTGACGAACACTCACGTGAATCTTCCGGGGTCGGCTTGTCTGTACCCTCCTCTCCCAGGCTGCTCCTGGAGGTAGAAACGAGATCCGGAGTGTTAGGAAACGGAGTGGCTACACTCACATCCACAAGTGTGCTTTAATTTCCGTGCTTTCGCAAAGCATTTCTTTCTTCTGGTATCGTTGCGGAAACTGATGATTTAATTCCAGTTTTGGAAGCCATATTTCATTTCGAAGGATTTAAAGCAAGCTTCTGATTGGCTGCTTGCGGCTATGTGAAAAAAAACCTCCACACGTTTCAGCGCACTTTAAATGGCCTGCTCTTTTGATGACGCTATAGAAGTTGTCATTGATGCTTATAACCGCCTGTACCTATGATAAACAATGTAACACGGTCTCCCGAGAGCGGTCTGTGGCAAATACCAATGCATCCTTTCATGTGACAGCCTTGCTGGCCAGTTTGTGAGTGTGTGTGGGTTTGTCAGCTCACTCTGAGGGGGTGTAGATGGTGATGAGGGCATCCTTATGATACTTCTTGAGCAGACCCTCGCGGTCTGCGGTATCATAAAGACCGTAGTACCTGCCAATGCACATGCAACACACTTTAATCACCGAGTGCGTAGCGATCCATCGATTCATATCAACTCAATTATTTTGTTCACGATGCAAGTATACGGTCGTGCTTGAGATCATAAAAGAGTCGCAATGAATTGTTGCATAAATAATGGGATGATGCAGTGGTGTAACGGTTATTACTCTGGGCTTCCAAATTAGAGGTTGCCAGTGTAATGTCCTGGAAGCGAACGTTGAAGCAAAGGTGCAAACTGATTGAATCCCCCCACCTATGTCCAGCCAGCTGTCTACCACAGTTCAATTGGAAATGTTGGGGTCAAGTGTCGGTACTCCCTACCCTTATGTCCGGCTATTGTGGAAGACTAGGCCAAATACACGATAGAGGGTTCTCTACAGCTCCCTCCAGTGGAGTAGAATGCACAAGGAATTTCAGGGCTGCACTTTTATATACAACTAGCTTTACTACCCGGCTTCACCCGAGACTTGGATTCTTGTCTTGGATTAATAAGCGGAGGGTTGGGGTGGGGATGTGTGACGTCAGCAGGCACACTGCGTAATGCTTCCGCATGCGGGTGACATCACAGATGTGATGTCACCGCTCACTTGCCGTGGAAAATATATCCATTATTGCGCACCCCCCCCCCCCCAAAAAAAATATGTACAAGAGTCTATTTGTTTTTACTTTCTGCATTATGTACAGTCTGGAAGTTACCCACATTCCAAATTTCAAGTTTGTTGCATGTTGGGAAGTATGCTAAACATTTCGAACAGACACATTTACAAATTTCCCTTTTATATATATAGATGATAAATTCATGATAGAATTAAGATAATGGGACTAATCTGTAGAAGGAAGGCAATCCAACTGGAAAACGGTAATAATGAGAGACACGTGGATTAAACAAAATATGCAGCGTAAAGAAACCATTCTAACTGATAAGAAAAGTAAGTGGGTTTGAGCAGAACACACTGGCAGAAGGAATAATGGCCATTAGTCTAGACTAAGTACTGGGTGACATCCAAGGGAGGGAACGTGCCTAAGGGCAAGGGCATCCACGAGTTGGAGCGAATAAATGAGCTTGTCTATCGATTGTAGGTAGGTTATTCCATTGCAGGGCAGTTGTATAGTGATGGATTGGGGAAGCATTTACCCAGCAGTGCATTGATAATTCCTGGTGATGATGATGAAATATTACATAAAAGCATAGGCTGGGATACCCTAGTGTCTGTGTGAGTGAGTGCGGGGAATTGGAAGGCTCCTTACTCCTTGAGAAAGTTCGTGATGAGGCCTTGAATGTCGGCTGAGGTGGGCGGCAGAGGGGTGGGTGGCATAGCTGTGGGAGGCTGAGCCTTGGGTGGCAGAGGTGTGGTTGGCAGAGTGGTGGGAGGCTGAGCCTTTGGTGGCAGAGGTGTGGGTGGCAGAACGGTGGGAGGCTGAGCCTTTGGTGGCAGAGGTGTGGGTGGTCGAGTTGTGGGAGGCTGAGCTGTAGGTGGCAGAGTGGTGGGAGGCTGAGCCTTGGGTGGCAGAGTGGTGGGAGGCTGAGCAGTGGGTGGCAGAGTGGTGGGAGGCTGAGCTGTGGGTGGCAGAGGTGTGCGTGGCAGAGCCATGGGAGGCCGATCTTCGCTAGGCTGAACCTTCCGAGGTCGAGCCGTGGGTGGCAGAGCTGTGGGTCGCTCAGCTGTGGGAGGCATAGGCGTGGGTGGCAGAGGTGTGGGTGGCACAACTTTGAGAAGCTGAGCAGTGGTAAGCCGATCCTTGGATGGCAGAGTTGTGGGTGGCACAGCGGTGGGTGGCACAGCGATGAGAGGCTGAGCTTTGGGAGGCTGTGCAGTCGGAGGCTGAGAAGAGGGTGCCATGACTTTGGGCACCATCATGGACATGGATGTGGGCGGCTCTGGCAAATCAGCTTCTTCCTGTTGGTAACAAACAATTATGGTAATGAAGGTGATTATGATGATGTGAGTGGTGGTAATGAAGTTGATGCCAATGGTGAGGATGATGGTGTTGAGAGTAATGATAGATGTGATGATAACTTCTGATGTCCTAACATGTACCATCTGGTGTACCAACACATTCTGATGTACCACCACAAACAATCTGATATGCTAACATACAATCTGATGTACCAAAACACACAATTACAAATACCAACACATCCACACGGAACTGCGGTGAGAGCATAGCAGCCGCGTGCCGGCTGTACGCATGGCCTCCTCACCTCGATCAGCCGCCGGTCGTACTTCGCAGCGAGCGGAGATGGTGGGCCCAGGACTGGGCGCATCAAGACGATGGCCTGCAATACGGGCAAAGCGGCGGCACCGATCAGCTGTCTGCCGGCACGCCGGCCCCCTCCCATGTGGATCACCTTACCTCGTTATTGTGGTCATGTCTGCGTGTGTCATAATTCTAATGCATGTTGTGCAACCAGGTGAAAGAGAACTCAAGAGACCAGGATATGCTTAATTTTCCACAGTGACCCCGGTCACCAATCACATGTAAAGTATTGGATTTACATTCATTTCTATGCTGTTTCATTTTTGTTCCTCGGGGGAATGATGGCAGCAAGATGGCAGCAATTTGGAAAATGGATCAAAGAAAATGGTAAAAATGAGACGGGAATAATGGGAAGCAATAAAAACGAAATGATGAAAATTACATGAAAAAGTAAATTGATTTTTTTAAATGAATCCCGGCTTCCACCGACAACTCAATGAGTTTGATGATTTATGACGATATTTTTATGATTTCGAGTGCTGTAATCTCTCATAGCTGCGGGTGGTCACACATGGTATATGAGCTATTCAACCCGAAATCAAATGATTCTTACGCGTGTGACTAAACGCATGCATTATGTGTGCTGAAATGCATTTAACCTATGCATAATTGCACACCTATTGGCCTAGCCCTCCAGTCCACTTGGGCTGTCTTTTCCAGCCATCCCAGGGGATTTCAATGAAAAAAACAAGTACCTCTTGGGGCCACTATGAAAGGCTACATGAGGATAATAATGATGCCCTCATTATCCAGGAGAGTCTTGCTCAGCCTCAAGACTGTTGTTCACGAGAATCCTGTATTAGGATTGTTCGGCAAATTCCCTGAATGAGCATTGAGGTTGGAGGCAGAAGCTGCACTGTCCGGGGGAAAAACACGTACGCATTCAAGTCAGGTACGCTCAAAGCTCTGGACAGATGCATGAAACAATCTATTGATATGCTGTGATCTCCAGCTATAAACAGCAGATGTAACATTTACATCTCATAGCGGTCGGCCTATCACCTCCTGCCTCCCCGAAGCACTCACCCTATAGTTGTCGGGAAAGACAATTTTCCGTGACAGCGCCTTGAGGTTCAAGGCAGCCATGTAGTTCACCACATAGAATGTTGCCATGTCTCCCTCAAAGTGGAACTGAGAAGGACACACACACAGACACAATATTGCAGAGAGGCACAGTGTTGTCATCAGTGGTGGGCATGGTCCCATTGATGGACGAGATTTCTCATGCACAGCCCCTACCGTTTGGAATACCCTTCCACTCCACATCTGACAAATCGACACCATCACTTTATTATTCAAATACAAGATCAAAGCCTTTTCATTAATCTGGACATACGGTGAAGAATAGGAAATCACAGTTGGACATTTGACCAATAGTTTAAACACAGGATAGTTAAACCCAGGATGGATTGTAGGCAGTCCAGCTTGAACACATCGCTTAATCTCTCGCGCTCATACCTGCAACGGAGTGAAGGGCGTGCAGCAGCCCTGCTGCAGGAACTGCAGAAGCCCCTCCTTGCCGTACTTCCTCCCAAAAGGAATCTGGGGACACAAGAAGCAGTGGCCAGGAGTGAACAATAAGATATCTTTCCTTTTATATAGCATCATTCATGCTAAAAGCATCCCACAACATACATTAATAATTTTTAGGACCAAATCCCACATACAGCCACTGCCAAAGCAAATGAAAACCCTACGAGCAAGCAAAATCAAGAATGAACAAACAAGTTAAGAATTGGCACCAAAACAAAAGGCACAAACAAGAAAAACGTTATCCCAACAAAGGAATTAGTCCATGAGGTCATATCCCAGACCCACAATCCCAAATTTCCAACCAAGCCAGCAAGACCCCAAGCAATTTGTAAGCCTGCACGTGTACGTGTGTCTGCGGGGAGTGCTGGCTCAGTGGTTTGCACACTGCCCTACAAACCCTGGCCGCTCATGGCCAAAAAAAGTGGTTGTTGGCCTCACTTAGGTCGACTCAGCTTTAAATGAGTACCTGGTGTCGTGTGTAAACATGAGCACTGAGGTAACAACCACACTATACCCTGAGGTGCTATGCTGGCCTTAAAAGGTGCCCACGAACAGCACCTGCTCCAACAGTTTGCGAAAGGCTTTCCGAAGGATTGTCCTTGTTACCCCCCTTTGGATCTGCCCCTGTATTATTACAATGCGTTTTTATTCAGGAGAGCTTCACTGAGTCTCAATACTCTTTTTGTGGAGGGTCCTTCCATGTTTTTTTGCAGTGGGGGAGAGGGCAACATTGCTATGTGTCATCCCAATTGTGTAATTTGAATTCATTTTTTTTATTCCGACCATCACGCCAGCATATGACATCACTGGATAATTAAGGTCCACTGTAAAGCAGATAGCACGTAGTATGTTTACCAATAACACCACGGAGATAACCACCGACTGTGTCCACGTGTGTGCGGCCACTGCATTTACCGTGATCTGGTACCAAGTGGATGGTTCCTGGCTGACGTTGCGCGCCGGAGCACGGTACTCCGCCGACTCGGCCCGTGTCGTCACAGGTGGGACAACGCTCAGCCGCTGCCACCGATGGCCCTCGGGACCGGAGGTGGTGTGCGACGGCGCACCACTTGGACCCAGCCTGCTCCACACTCTGATTGGAACACAACGAGAGGGCGCGGCGGTGAACGAGGAGCCGAAGGCAGCCATGCGAGCGAAGCATGCGGTTCACTTAAACGGAGACCGTGTCAAGTTTGATTCATGTTAATGTTGGTAGTGAAGAGTCCTAAGCCACCGGCAAGGAGATTCATTGAACAGAATGTAATCCATACATCGGCGAGTGTAAACAATATCTTGTAAATTTGACGACCTCGTTGGGTGGTAGAGGGTTAACGTCAAGCATAGGCACCACGTGGCCGAACACCAAAAACAAACGCGTATTCATTGTCCTGGCTATGCCAACCTACGCTTTAAGTTAGGCTGTGTCAAGGCTACACCCAGGGCTTTAACTTCTTTCTTACAAGTCGCTGGTAGACTACATCCCACCAACGTGTGGGATAGAGAAGAAACTCGTCAGTCAATAACACTGTGGCCTTAAAATAAGAAATGTATAATAGGCGACGTTTTTGGCAATGGCCCTACGAAGAAGGCTGTTGGGGCAAAGTATTGTCAGCGAGATATTAAAATATAAACATCGCACAATGACAAGCACTACATCTGGCTATCTTTGGCTGCTAATGCTTACATACATTACCAGGTGATATCTTTTTTAAGCTGAGTCGACCTAGGAGAGACTCGGGACCGGTTCAATTATTGCTGGTCACTGATGTTAGCCATGGCTGGTAATAAACTCGGGTCAACCTGGTGTTGTTGTAGAGCAATGGGTCCCACTGCTCCACCACCCTGCACCCTGCTCGGCATGTACACATGCACACACACGCTCGTGTGCACTCGCAGCTCTACTCACGATGGCCGCTTGGAACTCGGCCCATCGTGGTTCTCATCCACCGGATGGGAGCGGCAGAGTGGGGAACGTGGGGAACGTTGTCGGCGTGGTCCACCTCTTCCTTGCTCCCCACCACCAATGCTGACAGTGCACATGCGGGACCCAATCGACTCCTCATCCACGGAGCATCGCACTCTCAGGGGGCTCCGGGACCTGTGTCGTGGGGCCGCAGGCTTGGTCGCTGTCCGCTTGTCAGGGTCTGCACACACAAGAGGGGGGTGTGGGGGTGCGGGGCACAAGAGTCTCAGTTTGGAGGTAAGAATGCGTGGACCAGGGGCACCCCGGTGGCTCGATGTTAACTACCTCGCCTGTGATAGAGGATATCGTGGGTTTGATCCCAACCCTGATGCCTGCATATTTGAAGTTTGCACGTTCTCCCCGTGGCCACGTGAATTGTTCTCCGGGTCCTCCGATTTTTGCCTCCACATGTAGAATTAATTTGCGTTTCGATTATTTGGCTGCTATACATTACCACATGCCGATAAGCCAATTCTTTGAGCTATCATTTGTGGCCAGGTCGAAAAAGAGCTTTATTGCTCAGTGGGCTTCAGTTTAGAATTTACACGAAGGAATTCATGGTGGCGCAGAGATGCAATTAACTGTGTGTGGGGGGGGGGGAGAGTGAGAGAAGGGTTCGTGAAGATGGAAGGTGGCAGGATTGCAGCTGGGCAGGAGGAGGCAGGGAATTGGCTGAGGACTGGAGGGGAGAGATTTGGCAGGAAAGGAGGAACCGTTTGGAAGGTTTGAGAAAGATAATATATCAAGGGGGTGGTGCAGATGCGACCTCAGGTACGGGTACAGACCGCCTCACCTCATATCTCTACTCCACATACTCTCCGAACTTTCCTGTCTCATCTCACTCTACTCCACACTCTCCTACCTCACCAAATTTCTATTCCATTCCACTCTCCTAACTCTCCTGTCTCTACTCCACACACTCTCCAAACTCTCCCATCTCATCTATCTCCTCCACACACTCTCTGAACTTTCATGTTTCACCTCTCTACTCCACTCACCTCCAAAAACCACCGTCCGCATGCACAGACTGTGCTTGTGGTCCATCTCCATCGACCTCCGTCGCTTGGCAGCGCTCTCCTCCTCCGGGTCACGACCTCCTCGCTTGCGGCGCCGACCCCCTGCGCAGCAGCACCCAGAGATGTACCACCACTGCGTCTCACTCTACCTATCACTTAGAGGTACCATCGCGTCTCCCTCTCTATCCATCACTTAGAGGTTCCACCACCGCCTCTTCCTCTACCCATCAGTGAGAGGTACCACCACGTCTTCCTCTCCCCATCACTGAGAGGAGCCACCACCGCGTCTCCCTCTACCAATCACTGAGTGGTACCACCAAGTCTTCCTCTACCCATCACTGTGCCCCCCACACAGCTACCCCCCCCCCCCCGTTCTCTCGCTTGTGCTATGGGGCCGTCCATAAATGACGTCACGCGATTTTGGACGATTTTAGACCCCCCCCCCTCGTCACAAAAAGTCAGACCTCCCCTCAAATATGATGTAACAAAACTCTGCCCCCCCCCCAAATTATATTTCAATTTTGAAAATAAAACATGCTTTAATCGCTTTAAACTATTGTCATTGTAGGGCGTATTTAATGTGGCGCTGTACTCAGATGTTATAGGAGAAAACACGTATACAAAACTGAGGCTTTGGAAAGCTTAAATTTAGCATAAAATTCACTTGAAATTATTCAACGTCTAACTAAAACTGCAGATGTTCAGAATATATTGAAATTATCTTATAATCATAAAATATAAAAAGTAATTATAACTATTAAAA